CCCGATAGGATCTTTGCCATCTCGCCATCAAATAGGTCTTGACTGTTGACTCCCCCGAACGCAAGACGTTTGTATCGGTAATTTCCCCATGGCGTTGAAAATGTCATGGCTTGTCTGGACTGGGGATCAATGACAAACTGGTGGTAGCCATGATTGAGGTCCAACTTGCTGAATATGCGGCAATTCTTATTAAACGCTGTAATAAAATCTTCTGTAATGGGTGCTTGGACTTGGCGAGCTCGTAACATGGATTTATTCAGTGTTCGTAAATCCAAGCTGAGGCGTATATCATTGGGATTCTTTGGTTTAGGTTGTACAACCATAGGAGAACACCATGTTATAGGTTCTTGATCAGGAACTTTCTCTATGATGTCTTGTTCCACAAATTCTTGGAGTCGTTTCTGGAGAGGTTCCATTAGGTGGTATGCAACTCGCCTTGGTTTTTGTACAACTGGTTCAGCCTCTTCATCCATTGGTAAATGTAGCTGAATCTCCTCTCCATTGCGGGTCGCTCTGCCAATTCCATGAAATAGATCTTGATTACTTGATATGGTTTGAGTAGCTCGTCAACACTGGACTGTGTTTCTTGTAGTTTCCGAATATTGCAAGTACTACTGGGTTTGTTCGGTTCTTTAGGTCGTCCTGTTTCACTAGGGTTGTTCGTCCAAGTAAAGGTAAGGAGTTGATTTTCCCTTTAATGATACTCATTGGTGCTTGTGCTATGCGTGTCTCGTTTTCAATGGTCACAATGCATTCGCCTTTAACTGGTAGCTTCTCTTTCAGCGTATTTAGCTTTACTTTCGACTCGTATAGTTGTAGCTATGGTGACTTGGTTTTCAGCTCTTGAAGTTGTATTTCATCCATAATGTTAGAGTCTGCACCTGTGTCTGGTTCAACGAGTGTTTTATGACCATTTATGTAAACAACACAGGATAAAGTCTTTCATTACCTGTCCTGTGTATCTTTAAGTGGTTTACCAAGTCGCTGTCACTTGATGTGCTGCTTTCGGTAGTCGGGCTTCGATCTCTATTGTAGGTAACATGCTTGACATTTTTATTTTCTGGCATTTTCCAGCTGTCTCTCCGATTTCTTTCTCCCGATGTTGATTGTTGTGTGTCTCTTGTGTCTTCGCCTTCGAATTGTCGTTGTCGTCTGCCATTTGAAAATCTTTCTGCGGGCTTCGATCGACATACTTTGACGTAGTGGTTACGTTTGCCACATGCAATGCAAAGAGATCCCATTGCTGGACATTGTTGGTGAGCCCGGTCATATCCACAACGGTTGCAAGGATTTGTCGTTTTTTCACGGGTCGGTGATGTGCTTTGTTCACGGAAAATCTGAGACGAAGGTCGCTGTCGTTGTCGTCGATAATTTTGGACTCGTTTGATTGTTTCGTCTGAATTTACTTTCTTCTCAATCTCTTTAGCTTGTGTTCGGGTTTCCTCGTCCAACTCAGCTTCTTCTAGAATTTGGTCGAGCGTCCAATTCTTGCGTATTGCTTTGATGCGTACGAAATTGTTCGTCACTGTTTTTATTAAGTGGTCTCGAATAGCTTCGCTCTCGTTCGAGAAACTGCATTTCTTTGCTATTTCCCTGATGCGTGTATAGTATCGAACAAGCGATTCACCGTGGTTTTGCTTAAGATTTCTAAACTGAAATCTAGCAAAATCTTTGTTCTTCTTTGGTAGAAAATGTTTGTTGAGTTTCATTATGAATTGTGCATAGGCATCTTCACCGGCTTCGTTGCCTGTAGCGTCGAGAAGTGTGTCTTCAAAATCTGCGATTATTTGATCGCCGTAAATGATTAAGCCGTCTTTCTTCATCTCTGGGTCTGTGATCCCAAAGTAGCGAAACTGTCTTTCGATGTTCCGTAGCCATTTCTCCCATCCTGAAGCAGTTTCAGTGCGATTTTCGTTGATCTGAAATGGTCTCACGTTGAGTTGGCGGTTGGTCACGCTTATATTATTTACGCCCGCGTTCGTCTCGGAGCTAGAACCTTTTTTCTCCTTGTCGTGGCTCATAATTTCTTGCTCTAGATCAATCTTTAGTACATCCTCGTCGCCAATGTAGTAACTTAGATACTGGTATAATAGGTATATTCAAAGAAGACAAGCTCTTCGCTTAACGTAGCCTGCGAACAGGCTCTCAAGCTGAATTGAGAGCCTGCATCGATGACTAATGAATTTGAATATCTACGTCTCAAATCGTGACGCGAAATTCTCATTGGTCAGATGCTATAATTTATATGTTTCTGCTGAGCTCTATATATGTCAACTGCTGAAGCACTATGCATAAAAAACACATTAACTGATCAAATTGGTCTTGGCCGTCTTATCCCAAAGCACGAAATGTTCTGTTTTGAGAAAATAGTATTTAAAACATTTGAACTTTTGCTTGAATATCTTATATTTCGAAAAACAGCATAAACTGTACGTTCTAAATTTAGTTTGCACGGTCTAAATTTAGTGTGCACGAAAGTTGTAAACAACACCATATAAGGATAGACATTCCATATTTGGAAAAACGAACGTTACGGGGCAGATATTCAAATTCATTAGTCATCGATGCAGGCTCTCAATTCAGCTTGAGAGCCTGTTCGCAGGCTACGCTTAACGCTTTATTCTATACTACGAATATTCTCAAGTTACACAATAACATGTTCAGGTTCATATCATGCATAATTAATTGTACATTATTAGTTCCGGTAAGTTGCGTTTACGTAATCTACTACAAAGGTTATGATTGGTTGTCACACGCATTATGATTGGCTTAAAGCCAAAGCGTAAACAAATGCGCTGATTGGTCGAAAACGAAATTCTCCCTTGTTGCTATAACATGTATCCACAAACAATCTCATAATAGTACACACGCATTGTTTTTTGCGCGCTTAGAGGTCAACTAATTGAAGGTTTTGATCTTCAGAGGACAATTTTAATTGAATTAGCTATATATACAGTGTGTATAAAAAAGTGTAGGCTTTCAAATTAACGATAATTAAAAAATTTATTAATAATTCACGAGGAAAATACAAAAGAAATGAATGTTTAATCAATGTTTGTAAATCGGATAAAGATTTGTCCTGATTTACATAAACTTCAGCTTTGATTTTTCTCGGCTTAGACAACGTTTATTTTTAAAATTACTTCGCCAAGGAACTCATAAGATGGGTCTTTTTTTAAGTACGATAAAACATGAGCAACCGATCTGTATCTAATATACAAACTCTCGCCTTCGGTTCGAGTTTGTATATCAGATACAGATCGGCTGCTCATGTTTATCTAGTACTTATAAGTAATTTGATTGTTTTAAACTGCTTTGAGTTAATGATACGAGACGAAAACATGTCTTACTTACAGAAGAAATCAATTATAACTTCATTTTAATGCTGTTTGTACTATACAGGGTATTTCATTGAGTTGTTCGTACATGTCCCATAAGTAGAAAGTCTTTACGGTTCGCTAACTTGTTCAAAGCAATTATATATAGCTTGTCAGATGAATTCGATAGCATACGGTGTTATGCTTAATTTAATTTTGAAAGGCTATACTTTTTTATACACACTGTACATACAGGGTGTATAAAAAAAATGTACATCGTTACCTTTCGGCAAATTCAAATCAGCCGATAACCTTATATATTCGTTGCTCTGCAGTAAGCTGGCCCATTTTATATCTTATGCAGACTTGAATAATGTTTATTTAAACATTCTTTGAGTTGTGTATTTGTTCACACAAATAGAAATTATCCTAAATTCCCATGTGCAGAAGACCTTGTGTTTTCACGCATTCATTAATTCGAGAAATTATACGGCCGTCAAAGTTACAGTTAATTAATTTGAATTTGAAAGGGTGTACATTTTTTGATACACCCTGTAGGAAAATTGATGAAACTGCATGGGGCTGGATCCAGTGCAAATTGCATTGTTATTCTCAAATTTGATCTTGATAACATCATGGATTGTAAAATAAATGGATTGGAAACTTCTGACGTCAGTGACTGCATCCTTGTTGAAAAACGTGACGTCACGCGTATTGCGAATGTTACCAAAGTTCTCGGCATATTTGTTGTTTTGCTATATTTTCCACTTTAAAAGGGTGATCTTGAAG